ACACCAGCAGTTTAGAAAATTGACGCAATTTTTTCAAACGAAGAGTCTATCGCAATCGTCTAGTTTCAAGGACCATGAAGTTTACGCTTTGAAGAAATCACAACAGAATCCAAAAGTTGAGTTGAGGGGATTAACTCAATAATGAAAGATCTGCCCAAAAAACAATGACATCAGAATATTTTCATATTACAGACCTTAAAGCCATAATCCATGGCCGATAGAGTTCAATTGTGAGAGGTTCTTCAATAATGTCAATTAAAACAGTGAAAGATAATTACATTTGTTGTTTTAATTATCCGCTAATGAAACGTAGAAGGGAAATGTGGGTGTAGCAAATTAGATAATTATTTCTTGCTGCTCGTCTTTTACGCTCTCTGTTATATCACACGAGAAATAAGAACAATTGAGGTCAATTGAACTGGATATTTTTTCTTTTCAGGGCTGAAAATATTTAACTTGGCCTTTAGAATGCGACTTCGTGTTCCGCACTTCAAAATCCGACAAATACTTTCTCAGGAAATTTATCTCAAACTCAAACTTTTTACGATTTGCTTTATGTGGTGGAAGACAAAAGCATCTATAAGCAAAACAAAGCAAATATTCCCAGTGATCTAACGAATTGCTTTCAATGCATTCATCAATAGCTTTGCTCAAAGCTACTGCGGCACATATTCTTGCTCCTTTGGGAATTCTCTTCAATATGTGACAATGGAGTTTGTATAGAGAAAGTCTATCGTTGATAGCTTCGGTAGAAGTTGCGCCAGATTTGAATGGTGAGAATGGAAGGAGAAAACATTATAGACTTAGATTCGTGAATTTTTGATGAGTGGATTCTCAAACCTTTTGTGCTTTTGAATTTCTTATTACAAGATTGACAAAACGCATATTTTATATACTTGCATCGTGTTCAGTTGTAGAAGATAGTTCCTCTGTGGAGGGCTCTTTCTGGTGTGGTTTTTTGATCTACACATAAATGAAATGTTTGGTGGAGATCAAAAAAAAGTTGAAATAAATTCTATAAAAAATGAAAATGGAAACATGGTTAATGATATGAATGAAATTGTAGACATTTTTAACAGTACCTTTATCAACACAGGAAAAGAACTTGCAAAAAATCAATAGAGCATCAAACCATAAATTCACTGAATATATAAACGAAAAATCTATATTTTTTGAGTCCTACAACCCCTAAAGAAGTTTCAAGCGTTATAAAAGGACTTAAAAATCAAAAAGCACCTGGAATTGACAAATTAAAGGGTGAAACATTAAAATTAGTTACTAAATTCATCGCTGAACCGATAACGCATATTTTCAACCAGGCTGTAGAAACTGGACACTTTCCATCATGCTTAAAAACATCGATAGTAACTCCAATATATAAAAGTGGAAGCAGAGATGAAGTGGTTAACTATAGGCCAGTTTCATTATTAACAGACTTCAGCAAAATTATAGAAAAGTTAATTAAATCCAGACTAAATTCATTTATCCAAAAACACAAAATATTATCAAAATCACAATTTGGTTTTCAGGAAGGGAAATGCACCCAAAATGCACTATTGCAGCTAACTGATAGCATATACAAAGCACTAGATAGAAGCAAACCGTCAATAGGAGTTTTCATCGATCTATCAAAAGCATTTGACACAGTTAACCACTCCATACTATTAACCACTCTGGAGAATATTGGAATAAGTGGGAACGCAATCAAATTATTGAAATCATATTTGACAGATCGGAAACAAATCGTGAGAATTCAAAATATAAAAAGTACTGAAAGGAAAATTGAATATGGAGTACCACAAGGAACGGTTTTAGGTCCAGTACTATTCTGTATATATGTGAACCAATTATTTTCTATAGGATCTTCAGGTGAAATAACTAGTTTTGCAGATGACACTGCGGTTTTCTACTCTGGGGAAACCTGGCTTGAGGTCAAAGAACAAGCAGAAAAGGACCTGGAAATGATTGAAGATTGGTTTGATTACAAACAACTTTCCTTAAATTTCAACAAGACATTTTTCTTACCGTTCTGTAATTATAAATCTTCCTTGCCACAATATCAATTCATAACTATTCAAAATACATTCAGAATATCTTCAACGACAAATATAAAATACTTAGGAGTTTTAATAGATTCTCATTTGAGATGGAACTTCCATATAAATTATTTAGGGAAAAAATTAAGAACTATTCTTTATAAGTTCCGCCAACTTGTTTCAGATTGGATCTGAAACAAAAAAAAACAGTTTATTATAGTCTGGTACAAAGTCATTTGACATACTGCCTAATAGGATGGGGAGGAGTATCCAAAACTTACCTGTATCCATTAAACGTAATACAGAGGAAATTCTTAAAACTAATGTTGAACAAGTCTCTCCGCTATAGTAGTGACAAGTTGTATGAGGAATCTGGGATGTTCGACCTAAGACAATTATTTTATAAGACACTTGTGCTCAATCAATTCAAGGAAAAGAGAAAACTAAGTCGGCCGAGCCATGAGTATATCACACGCCACAAAAATAAATATATCATACCATATGCATCCAAGAATGTAGGTCAGAGGTCCTATAATTTTCTGGGACCAACTGTATTCAACTCCCTACCAGATAGCATACATTCCCTAGAATCATTTTCACATCTGAAAAAAGCGGTCGATAAATTAATTAGAAGCCAACCTCGTGAGAAAATTGGTCAAATATTTCATGATGCCATTTGAAATGTTCTATTTAAAAAAAAAAATTACTCACCGTTACGCTCTCGCAAAACAATGTCCAACTTGTAAGAAATTTTATTTACACCTCCCATATGACCTATTTCATCCTTACACGTCTCCAATTGTTTTGTGACCCGAATGATTTTTCTTATACATGTGATTCATTTTATATATAAAAGTCTCGGATGTTCTTATGATTGTTATAATGGTTATTTTTATCTATTTTATTTATACCACATATGATTAATTTTATTTCTACTTACACGTCTACAAAGTTTTTGAATGTTCTGTATATATTTATTTCACCCTTTTGTTAACCTTATACTCATTATTAATTTTAGTATCTGAAGTTATAAAAAAGTAACACCTGTTGCTTCTGTGGGTTTCCCAATGTTTATTTGCAAAATGTATAGCCTTGTTATGCTTGCTGTTTTTCTTTTTGTGTAAATAAACGATGATGATGATGACATCATGACTGCTAAATAAAGGATACTTCTCGTGTATTCTGCAGGCCTTAGAGTTTCAAATGTATTACATTGCATTTTCATTGCTTTTTCGTCCTTTGTCCAATGTTCAACAAATATCTTCAATGGTTTTCACAGCATTAGTGATTCTCTCACAAAAGCTGTGTGCTGTTTGGTAGTACAAATTTGCATTTATAACTATCAATAGAAAAATGAAGAAACACGGACTCAGGAATCGGAGCAAAATTGGTTTTTAACCCTACAAGAGACGCGTCAATAATTTTTACAGCAAAGAATGCGTTGGGTCTGATTTACCCAAAAGGAGAAAAAACAAATTTTCTAAATAAATTTTTATTTCTGATAAGGTGTTACATAAATCATTCATATGGACAAATAGTTATTTAAAAAAAAACGGAAAACAATGTCCTATTTTTAAAACAAAAAAAATCGAGTTAAAATCAAAACGGTATGCATTATTGGTATCGTTACACTAAACACGATGTATAACAATTATTCCGAAAAATTTGCCGTACATGCTTAACAAACAGATACAGAATGTTCTAGGCATATAAATTTTTGACAAAACCGACATGTTTAGGTATCTTTTTTTCCGATCTTTAAAGAAGGCATATCTTCCACGTTTATTTTGTTCAATTTCGACACGCTCAACCAACATGTTAGTACTAATTCTAGCTGCAGGCTGTCGAATTTCTCTTGGCAGATATTTGAATTGTTTCCATTTGAATTACTTCTGTATATAACCATGGCGTTTATACCAGCAACATTGAGGAACCCATATAAAACTACAATGGGCCACTTACATGTATTTCTCGAAACATTATAGTTTGCAGAAAGTTGATCAACTGTACCAACTCCGCCTTTGGTCGAATTGTAAAAAGTAATTATCTCTGGTTTTGCCTCTGCATCAGATGCCTCACCAATAGAAGAATCATCATTATGAAGGGTTGATAATAAAATAACCTGCTTATTTCTTCGCATTATATATGAAACGATAGTCATATCTCCTGTTAAACCAAACATGCTCGACTTTTCTGGTCGTTTAATAAAACAGTCATTGGGAATTTGCCTCTTATTTTTTCTAAGTGTTCCCACAATTGTCAGCTGATAATTTTTAATAAATTATTGGTCACTTCAACAGAAGTGAACCAATTATCCATTGTAACATTTCTCCTAGATTTTGACAATGGTAAATGGTAAATTTTCGTTATGTGGACACCCGGCGATTTTGAAAAAATTTTTGACTGTACTTACGTATTTTGATGCGTAGATTACGAATCCGAAAGAAAAAAGCGGCGCTCTCCCTTATTTAAAAAGTTACGGCCTTTCAAAGTTCAGAATAGGCAACTTTTCAGCCTTCTTTTTCACTAAATAAACTATTTAAAAACACATTTTCAAAATCGCCGGGTGTCCACATAACGAAAATTTACCAAAACTTGACAGGTCACTTTGACATTGACACATTTCAATACCTGATACCAACTGATTGTCGAGAAATGCTTTGAGAAAAATGTCACAGTCTAACATGCATAGAAATTTATTTTCGTCAGCCTCATTTTCATCACGTAAACTTCATCCTGAGAAAAAAATTCGTTGAAATCCCACATCGTAACCGTTAAGAAATCAGCCCCCTTGGGTATTATCCCAAAACCAAAGCACATAATCGAATTAACTAATTACATGCCGTAACAAAGATTCGTTCGACCAACGTTAATCCTCTGAGAAAAGCCTAATTGAGAGAGTGACGACTATTTTAAACCGCATAGATGGCCCTGTGCCCCTAGTAATTGTCCAATACTTGATGGTGAAATAGCCAGTATGTCTCACTTATTACTTCAGTACCAGTGTTGAGATGTGTCAGTAGTCGAGCATCTATTTGATAAGTAGTTTATTTTTGTCGCAAATTTGCTTAACGACAGAGACATGCACATATGCAAAATTAATTTATTGTTACCAGTTTGGTTATTGGTGCTGAGTTCCTGTAGAAGTAATGAAGTGAATGAGTTTATTAGTTCGCCGACGACGGTTAAAGCTAGGGAAAATAACACAGTATTGTTACCTTGTTACTTGAATACCTTGTCTAATGGTGAGTTCTCAATTTTTTCATAAGTCCATCCGATACATTATCAAAACCACAAATAAAAATTGAAGCTGTAATGAGTTGTGCAAAAACTCTGTAGAACCTCTATGATGCTTAAGTCTGGAGATGACCTATCAGAAAATAATATTTCCGAAAATATATAGAGTGGGGTAGAGTAGAGTTTTATTTAACCATGTTAAGTTTTTCGCGATTTTCAGCAAAACGGTAAGTTTTATCATAAAAATAATTCAGACAAAAATTGTAAATCGTAACATTATTTACAAAAACTTTTTTTCCTACGAGCCACCGTTTTTGAGATATAACGATTCAAACAGTTGTAAAAGTTGTAATCGTCATTATATGCACTAGTTTCCACGCCACCTATGATGTAGTGTACTTCAACGTGGTTTCCCAGTAGGGCTATTCCACGGGTCAGTTGTGATCCTGTTTAATTTGAAAATATTGCAAAATAATGGATATTAGCAGATATTGAAGAGGTAGAAGCAATTTAAGTTAAAAAAGTAGTGAAATTTAATAGTCCGAATAGTAACTTTCAAATTCTTCTTGTTGTTCTTCTTCTTGATCTTCTTGTTCGTCTTGTTTTTCTTCTTTTTCTTCTTCATCTTGTAAACTGCGTTAATAGCGATGTATCGCATGTCTCCTCGTTGGAATCAAACGGATCCTCCACTGTTGGTGATTCAATATTAGAGCACGAGCGGCCTTGACAATGTGTACATGCCAGAGAACAAAACAGTCCGGCTTTTTTGCAGCCACATTTAGCACTGCGTCCTTTTTTGCAGTTGCAAAAATTGTGTTCAGCAGGTAATATACTCGAAAAAGATGTTGATGAGCAGCAACTGAGGTTGGAGGAAGACAAAGTAATTTTAATTGTTTTTTACTTTTGGTATTTTTAACTAAACATGCATATCTATACTTATCCAAGCAGGTAGTTTTTTAGGAGCTCCGTACATAGAAAGAAGAAAGCGAATGCCGTTAGCGATAATTTCTTGTCGAGTTGAATTACTATTTTTAAAAACTTCAGCACATTGAACCAAATTTTGTTTTTCAAACATTTTGAAAACTATTATTTAACCCCTCCTGTAAAATGCAGATGTCGTATCACAGCCAGTTATTGCGTGTGAAAATTGTACATGATTTTGACACTTTAGATTTTGACATTTTATATTATAAGTGTAAGTTCCAATGACCGATAGAAAAATATTTTAACGTATATTACAACAACAGATATATATATATACGTGGCGTACTCATGCATATTATGACGATTAAAACTTTTACAACTTTTTGAATCGTTATATCTCAAAAACGGTGGTTCGTAGGAAAAAGTATTGATAAATTTTTTGTAGACAATTTTATCATCTACAATTTTTGTCTGAAGTATTTTTATGATAAAATTACCGTTTTGATGAACATCGCGAAAAACTCATTATTTTGACTTTTGATATTGAATACAACTTTTTCCATACAGGGGAAACATGGGGAACTTTCAAATTTTATTTTTAATCATATTTTAAACAATCTCACTGACTTTCAGCTTGGTGGGAATTTAGATAGCTATACTCTTATTACACGCTTTATATTAGCTGCATCTGTATGTATGTATGTATGCTTGTTTGTATGTATGTTTGTTTGTAACTATCAAGCTGGGGATCTGTATTGACAAAATTATCAGCATTATTTCTTGATCTATTCGCGGGCAGATGGCGCTGTACGTAATATACTTAATATTTCTTGATCTATTCGCGGGCAGATGGCGCTGTACGTAAACTCCTTGATAAGTTGTTCAGAATAAAATCAAAATAATAAATATAGTTTAGAAAACTAAAAAACACGCTTTTATAGTATATGAAACTCAAAAGTAAAAAATAAATATAGTTTAAAATAACAATAAGCTTAAAACAATAACGATCGAAAAATACTAGTATTATTGTGACAAAAGTATTATTGTGCCATATTTTTTGTATATCTAGCGCCCAGGCTTTTTTCACAATAATACTAGTATTTTTCGATTGTTATTGTTTTAAGCTTATTAAAAAAAAATATTTTCGTTTTCAAATTTTCAGCTCGATGTTCTTTAAAAGCGTGTTTTCAAGTATTTTTAAAGTATATTTATTTTTTGGTCTAATATGACCGGACTATGGGTATTTCAATGAACTTGCTTGGTTTAAATATACCATTATATTGTAGAAATATTTCACGAAGAGAAACTTTTCGATGACTGCTTTGAATTTGTTGAATTCCAATGATTTCATTGATTTATCGAGAATATTATACAAATTTAGATTCAGAGAAATTTTGTTGCTAACAACTATAGTCTGTGCCGTTGGGGATTCAAACATATCTGCAGATCTTGTGTTACACTAATGTATATCAGAGTGTTTCTTGAATTTGTTTATGTTTTTATGTCTAAAAGACGATGTATATGTATAATAAAGGCACCGGCATGGTACCAAGCTGAATTAAGTGTTGATGACAGTAATCCTACATCTGCTAAAATATGAATGGCTTTTTTCTGATATCGAAATACGATTATTGGGCACGGGCTCTCTTTTTAGTGGTTAAGCCCCTGGAATCGTATTCTTGAAAATTTCGTTGGCAATAACATAAATTGATAACAACTCTAGTTTTGATAATTTCGTTGGCAAAAACATACACGTACATATCGTTACAGGCATTGAGATATATCTCAGCTTGAACATTTTTGGGGAACAACGCGAACTTTTCCGTAGGAACCCTTTCCTAAGATATCTGACATTTTGGAGACTAAGATGATGTCTTCAATTTGTCCATCTTTTCTCACCATAGTAAGAAATATTTAAGTTTTCGGAAACTCTTAGCTCCTCGTAGAACTGGATTTGTTTGAAGAGCCTACGACGAGGTATCAATTTTCAAACAGAAAAAAACGGCTAAATAATTATGCTTTATTGAATTCCACGGGACATGAACCGAGTACCTTCGAAGACTCGGCCTACCAGTCCTGGAATGAGACACCAAAGGTGTACATGCCATCCAGATTTCCAGAAGCATCACAGCTTCTGCTAACGAACTAAGGATAACTTTGCAGTTCCCCAATTACGGTAAATGGAACATCCATTTTATACATTTAGAAACTTGAGTTTCTATCAAACTGATCATACCACACAGTCCCCTACGGCTCTGAGGAATGATTGATTCTCTACAGTCCCCTACGACTCTAAAGATTGTTTCTCCACAGTCCCTTACGACTGTGAGGAATATATCTGATAGACCAGAGCTTCGAAAAGGATACATCGAAGTATGTCCTGTGGGGTCCAATAAAGTCATTGGACAATATTTCAGTGCGTCTCGCTCAATATATCTACCAATTTGTAAATATAAAGCGGTTGTATTTGTAACTGCTGCCATCTGTGATGCTTTATCATGTTTCAGTTTTGACATATTTCGAGTTGTTAGGCCGCTTTCTTCGCATATGAGGCACTTAGGACTTACTCAAAAATGATTTGAAAGTTTGTTGTATATATCGAAACTTTACGACGGTAAATGACGAATCAAATGTACATTAATTTAATATCAAATTTCAAAAAAACATAAAATGACCATTTAAATATTGTCAGACTTCGTATTCCATTTTTATTTTGAAAAGTTGGACTTTTCTGAAAAAAAGTGGAGTATTGAATCAGTGCACTTTTGCCTGCGTAACAGAAGTCTGTTGATTACGTTAGCATAAAAATTGAGTGCTCTAAATTCGATAAAGTAGGAATTTTGTTTATTATTTAAAAATTTTAAAAACTCGGTAGCTCATTGCAAAGCTTGATACCTTAATAATGAATCGAATTTTTCCTAATAATTGTTTTCATTTTCATCAATTTTGGATTGCCTGAATAGATGTTCAACCTTATTTTTGACCAAATGAATAAAGGTATATAATTTGAATTTATGTCAGGATGACAAATCTATTAATTTTTTTGGGTTTATACAAGTTGACTGTATAGGCTTCTTGTATTTTAACTGGAATATACACCTTAAAATTTTGTTCTGATTTTTTTTAAATTGGTTTCAATAAGGAATTTGTTGCCATTTCCCATACTGATATTAGATATTGAATTTTGGAATATACTAATGAAAAATAAATCAATTCAAGGTATTTCAGTGGTACAACATTTGTTATTTCAAATAGAATTCCAATTATGGGAGCTACTTTTTTTCTTATTGTTTCAATATGTCATTTCTATAATACATACAGGATACGACCAAGAAATTTAGTACTAAGTACTAGTACTAGGATAGTACTCAATATTTTTATTATGGAATTCAACTGGATTTTTCAATCAGTTGATATAGACTTTTTTAATGTAAATATATATGAACAATTATGAAAATTCAGAGACATTTCATGACATTGAAGACATAAAGATGTTTAATCAAGACCTTTTTAATATTAATTTTGATTTCTTGCACACTATTTCCATTCACCAGATAAATTCACTGTAGTTGAAGAATTGAAATATATAAAAAACAAAACAGGTCCGCGTATTGATCCTTACGGTACCTCACATATTTTTTAAACTAATCTTGTCGCCCATATAGGCATATTCAATAAACAATTTTGAAAACAATTATAAACTAAACCTGGGATACCTTTATCATGCATTATTTTCAGAAGAATTTCATGGTCCATAGTGTCAAATGCTTTCTTTAGGTATAATGAAAGAACTGCATATTTTTTGTTCTAATCTAAATCTAGCTGGAATTGGGTTATAGCATCTAATACTGCTGACTCTATGTCACTATTTTTTCGAAATCCCTGTTGCTCATCATATAATGATTCTGTCATTTCAAGTCATTCAAACAATCTAAAATGTGCTGATTTCTCGATGATTAATGAAAATTTATACTTACTGATAATGACAACTGTTAAATAACGATAGAGAATGAACGGTATACTGCAATAACCTTCCAAATTGGTCATTAAACCAACTTTGTTACTGACATTAATTAAATTTTAC